TCATTACTTCCTTAAACTTCAATACTAACAGCAAGAAACTAACTCCTTCATATATAACATATATAATATTTCTAAAAAACATAAACCATGACTGATTACTTTATATAATGAGAAAATTATTATAGGCAAAATCTGTAAACTTCTTACAGATTCTAACCAAATATCAATCACACATTGACAAACTAATATTAATATAAACAGTACTGATTACTATCCATTTCAACAAATTAATTTTGTTTCTTGTCCAGGTTGTTAACTTAACTCATAACAAATAATTACATTATGCACTATTAATACTTCATCTATTACATCTGTCTAATTTTTTGATAGAATTATTTCAAACTTAGTTAAAATAAATGCAAACTATCTAGACCTTCTTAGCTCTGCTGCAATTAAATAGCCTTTGCCAAATTCTTTACTACTGACATTGCCTTCTATTCCTATTTCCAACTCCATCTCTTCTGCAATTTTTAAAGCAAGTAATGCAACTAACTAACTTAATTAAATATCTTCTAATAATCTACTATATAACTTATTTAACTTTTATACCAATGGTTTAGTAATTAGTATAAATACAAATAACTATACTATGAATATTGGCTGAATCCAAGTAGATTCTAATAACCAAGTTATCTACAAATTTGCTGCCAAAGTTCACCTCTGATCATTCTCTTACAAAACTAAACTCTTCTTTATTCTGTCTGCTGTTTCAACTACCTCTTGAAATTTTACAATTAACATTTACACAGATTCTCAATTTATAATATTAAAATTTATTCAACTTAATCAATCACTTTTAAGTCCTAATAAACTTTTTAAATTTAACTTCTGGCTATTATGGCATACCTTATTAAATATTATTAAATTATACAAATTAAATATTATTTTCTATAAAGTTCAAGCCCACTTAGACAATACTTTTAACAATCTAGCAGACTTATTTGCTAAGCAATATATAAATGAATTACCATTACACTTTAACTATACAAATATTTACAACTCATATCATTTATTATTCTTTGAAACAGAAAAATTTCTTATTGAACTTTCTACCAGATACTTTGTTAAAAGTATCTGTAAAGCTTACAACCTTGCACTATAGTCATCACAAAAACAAAATAATGAATGAACTCTATTAGCCTATCATATCAATTAGAATTCAACCTGACTATACTTTAATCATAATCAAAAATCTATCTACAATCTTACTAATTTTAAACTTAACCAATTTAAATTATTTAAAATTAAAATACTCATTAATGAACTACTTACTTAATACCTCTATTATAAAATCTATTTCCTAACCTTTTATGATGCCAATTGCTTTCACTGCAATTCAATTATGTTACCATTATATTAGTGCACTTGTGTCAATTTTTTTCTATTTGATAGCATCATTTTCAATGCAATAACTAACTATATAAACTCAGCCAATTTAGATTTCTCTAACAATAAAACTAAAGAACTTATCCAAAAAATTAAAGACCATTCAGCTTTCAATGAAACACCTCTTCACTTATCTTCATACTACTTAGAAATTACTCTTAAAAGTCTTATTCTCTTATCTTTAATTAAAACTATTTAGAACCTAAAAGTTTCATACAAACTAGCATCAACAATTATGATTAATATTTTGCTTAAAATTAATAAACAAATCTACAACAATTATGGAAACCCTACTGTATTAACTTCTCAAATTGAAAAAACAACAAATAACTAATATACATATTATGCAACAAACCTTATCTTTTTACAGTAGAAATAATACATATACTCATCATAATTTTACATATTTTTGTTTCTGTAATTAACCTGACCAACTCCATTTATATACTGGAATCTGTTTACTTGTTGGATGGGCCTTTAGAAAAATTAGTACTTGGGCTATTCTGTGGGTCAAGTATCATACAACTTCTAACTTTATTTTAACTATAAATAATATTATTTAAGTAAGTTTTTGACCACTTTTGTAGGTTTAGATTACAAATAAATTAGATTTATTTAATTGTCTAAGCTTTTATTCTTACATGTAATTTTTATTGTAAATCAGTACTAAATCAAATAAGAGCAGTTTGATTTAGATCTCTCTTAAGTACAATAACCTTCTAGTAGCAGGCTTTTACCTGGTCCAATCATTTAACTAAAGCATGTACATGAATAAGTAATACATTTAAAGAAGCAAACAATCCAATGTTTGATATGTGAAAGCAAAAGGAACACCCTCTTGCCTCTCTATACCAAAAGCCAAGTTCTCTTCTGTTCTTGCTAACAGAAAGGTTTGCTTTTGGGTAATAGCCACACTTTTTTTTATTTGTACTAGTACAATTAGTAGAAATGTATATACTGCACATATGTTACTATTTTATAAATTACTTAATAAAGATACAAACAAGACTTCATCTTAAAAAAAAAAAAAAAAAAAATCTTTTTAATGCAAAATTTAAAAGTGTAAACATAATACAGTACATAATATATACAGATAGAGTAGCAAATAACAAAAATAAAGAAAAGACAATTGATAAAAACATGGATATAGGATAGGCACAAATAAGTAAAATACAAGATTAATCAGAAAAGAAGATAATATTAGTGGTAAAAGAATGGCTTACATCTATTATAGCTAAAATGCTAGCAATATAGGCAGCAGTTTTAACAATACTAAGAAAAAAAAAATTAGAAATATTTACAAATAATACAGCAATTAGGAACATTAATAAAAACTTAGCATATATAAATAGAAATGAAGTTTTCAAGAGAAAAGATGCACTATAGGTATTAAAGATAACAGATATAATTAAAACAAAAACATACAGATAGAGTAAATCAAAGTAAAAAGTTATAATAGAAACAAATAGAATGATAAAGTTGACAGCCTTACAAAAAAGAGAACATTAAGTAAAAAAATATTTTTTTTAGAAGAAGTTAGTTATGAAAAAATAAAGTACTGCTTAGAGTAAAAAAACAAGTAAATAGATCTAACAACAAGACTTCTATATAAAATAATAATAAATATCAAATTAGAATCAAAGTAGAAAAAAACAATAGCAATCAAGAATATAGAACTAGAAACAGAAGCAATGATTTACAATTGGACATATTTTTGAAGAAGGCTAAAGTCATCTAAAGAGATACATTGTTTGATAAGAAGAAGCAGTACAAGAAGAAATACTTTTATTAAATGTATATTGAACAAACTTTTGATATTAGAAAAACTTAACAGAAGAAGACCAGATATATATACAATAGCAGAATGCCAAGTTTGCCAAAACAAAACTAAAAAAATACAAAAATATTTAGCTTTGTATAAGGAACAATCAAGTTTATAAAAAAGAATACAAAAAGTATCTATTACAATAGTATTAAAAAGTTTAAAAAAAAAGAAAAAATCTAAGTCTTATTTGATATATTATATAAGATACTTTTTGAAAAAACAAAAAGAAAGAAAATAAAAATAAGAAAAACACTGATCAAAGTTTTAATTTCAAAATGTAACTCAAAACAAATTATTACAAATCTTGAGTATGAAAACAAGACAACAGTTTATAAACATAACAAAAACAGCATAAAACACATTTTATAACCAAATTTGAAAAATATATTATAAAAAGATCTACATATAAGAAAAAGAATAAAGAATAATAAGTAAAAAAAAAAAAAAAAAAAACAAAAAGAGAAAGAAAATCTAAGTAAAAAAAGAAAAAAAAAAAACTAATTAGCAAGAAATAGAAAAAAGAAAAAAGAAAGCAAAAAAAAAGAAAAACAAATTAAAAAGAAAGTTAGAAAAACAATTAATAAGCTTGTTATAAAAAAAAAAACTATTTTATTATAAACTTTAAATAGTTAGACAAGCAGCTTACTTCTGCTAAAAATAATGCAACAGGTTGCACTTAGATAGCATTAGGATAGCTAAATAATGCTAAACTTAGTTGTTAGATATATTTATATAATTGCAGTAATAATTTTAAAAATCTTAATAAAGCACTAACATAACTGCTTAAAAATATATATATATATATATTAAAAACAATATTATTAATTATCTGATTTTTTATTAAAAACTTACTTTTTTTTCTTTTTATTTAATATATATTTAATTAGGTTTTTTATATATAATTTTAATTTTTTTACTTCTTTTTTTTTTAAAAAATTATTTGATTTTTGTTAACTTCTTAATATAAATTAAAAAATAAATTGTAATTAAAATAGCAAATTTTAATAAAAAAATTGTTAAAAGTTAGTATAATTTTTTTATAAAATTGAAATGCAACTAGCTTATACTAAAAAATTTTTTTATATCAAATAACCTTTTTTTAAGTTTTTTACAAAAATTAAATTATAAATTATTAAAATTCTTTTTTATAACTATGTATAGTTTACATATTGTCAAAAGCTTTTAGCATTTTGAAAAAACATTATATACTACAGTATTAACAAAATCGATTTAAATTTGATTTCATTAGATTGGAATAGAGTTAATACCTCAATCCGGATTTATTACTAACATAGTATTTTTAAATCCGGATATATCCAAATTTTTTATAATAAAAACGGATTAAAGTATTAACTCAAATTTGTGGAGATGCGTCATGTGGTTGACACGTAATAATTACAACAATCAAATAGTAATTTACATTTTTAGAGCATTAAATCAAATTAGCCAACAATATAGTCATCTTTTTCGTCGAAACCGCGCTAAAAACGCGACGCGATTTGTCCAAAACGGGATAACGTGCACAGCACGTTTTTAGTGTTTATATGTAACCTAATTTATTCACATGTGAATCACCTGACACGTAACTCTAATGTTTGTTTTTTTTATTTTGATCAGTCATTAAATTAAAGATTTACGCGTCAGGGATCAGAAGTCATAACAAATGAAATTTCTATATAAACCCAACAATTTTAATCAACTCATTTAATAAAAAAATTTTTACATTTATTACATTTATTACAAATTATAATCGGTTTACATTTTAAATTTTACCAAAACATTTTTAACGATGGCACGCACAAAACAAACTGCTCGTAAATCAACCGGTGGTAAAGCTCCTCGCAAGCAACTTGCTACTAAAGCAGCACGAAAAAGCGCACCGGCCGCTGGTGGAGTAAAGAAACCTCATCGTTATCGACCTGGTACTGTCGCTTTACGTGAAATTCGCCGATACCAAAAATCCACGGAACTACTTATTCGTAAATTGCCATTTCAAAGATTGGTTCGAGAAATTGCTCAAGACTTTAAGACAGATTTACGATTCCAAAGTTCGGCTATTGGAGCTTTACAAGAAGTATGTTTATTCTTTTAATAATTACTTTTAATATTTTACTTTTATTTTATTGATTGATAAATTACTAATATATATGTATATTCTTTAAAATTTAGTCAGCAGAAGCTTATCTTGTAGCTCTTTTTGAAGACACTAACTTGGCGGCGATTCATGCTAAACGAGTGACAATTCAACCTAAAGATATTCAACTTGCAAGACGTCTTCGTGGCGAACGGGTTTAGATAAAAAAAATTTGTTGTCTATTGTTGTTGTCTATATATATGTTGCATGTCATTTTATATTTCTTTTGAGTTTTAATATGCATTATTTTAACATTTATAAATTTATACGAATGTAACATATTTTGATATTTGCATTTGCTTTGCTCAAATTTAAATGTACGATACATTAATAAACTACTTTTAGTTATAAAAAAAAATATAATAACATTTTAATAGTTGTGTTTAACTATAAAAGATGTTAATGGGCTCTTATATCTCACATCGATGACTTATAATAATATTAATTAATTAATTGATTGATTTTTTATTTTTATTTTTATTGCTTCGAACATTTGAACAAAATTGACAATAATAATTAAAAGAGTAAAAGACATATAAAGCATTTAAGATATTTAATAAAACGTTCAAATACAACCGTTTATGAACCCAAACTTCACGTACTAAATTAATCAAAGTTGAAGCTGTAAAATTAAATTAGGGTATACAAGTTTGCTCTGTAGAAGACTTTTACAAGATAATGAATATGATGTTTATTAAAACCTTTTATAGATTAGGGTCATAGTGCTCCAGAACGCGGCTTTTATTTTTTCTTTGATGTTATAACATTATTTTCGACTACTATAGCTTGCAAAAAACCATTTTACGCTATAAACACAATTTTAGATTTATTATTATATTGTATCGTCGTTATTCATATGTAAATCAACCAATTAAGATTAATTCTTCTGTATTTGTTGACCAAAAAAAAAACACTTAAATACCCGCATTGTTTGCTAAAAAAGAAACAAAAAATGGACGATTTAGTTCGCTCTGATGACCTTTTACACCCTGCAAACCTTATACCCGAATTGTGTAGGTTGTTTTATAACTTGGGATGGGTTACCGGAACTGGGTAAGAATACAAATTTGATAAAGGGCCGTATATGGTGTCTAAATATTCAAACCTTGTTTAATATATTTAATATGTTAGTGGTGGAATCTCTATTCGTAAAGAGTAAGTAAATTCGAAATTGTGTTTTTAAATTTCAAGATTTATAGCACTGTAATCCAATTTGATTGTTAGGGAGCATGTGTATATAGCACCCTCAGGTAAAATATATCTATTTATATTTTTTTAGCCAAACTTTGTATTTACATGCTGAACAAATGTAATAGGTGTCCAAAAGGAACGAATGCAACCATTCGACATGTTCGTTCTCGAGCTTTCAACACGTAAAATTCTTAGAGCTCCGGAAGTACATCGTCCTTCAGCTTGCACTCCGTTATTTTATAATGCTTATACGATGCGTAATGCTGGATCATGTATACACACTCATTCCCAACATGCCGTGATGGTTACACTACTATACCCCGGTAGTACTTTCGAGATAACGCATCAAGAGATGATTAAAGGTATTAGACGTGGTAATGGAAAAGAGAATTTCCGTTATTATGATACATTGGTGGTACCCATCATAGATAATACCCCTGAAGAAGAAGATTTGACTGATAGAATGGCTCAGGTACTGTTAAAGCAAGCTAAATTAAATTCTATTAGGTTATTAGATTCGATTAACATTGATCAAATTTGGTTTTAGGCGATGGAACAGTATCCAGAAACAAATGCTGTCCTTGTTCGACGTCATGGTGTTTATGTTTGGGGAGGTATACTATTTATTCTTTAATTTTGATTAATCATATTTATTTGTATTAATATAATTATTATGATTATTTTTTTTTCAAGAATCTTGGACGAAGGCAAAGACAATGACTGAATGTTATGACTATTTGTTTGAGATTGCTATCAAAATGAAGAATGCTGGTCTAGATCCAGCCGAAAAACCGAATGAATAAATCAATTTTGAATTGTTTTATTGTATTTAGAATTTCCTCACCGTTTAAATGGTTATTTATTTAGGACAAAACTACTCTAATTATTTGTACAATAATACAACATAAATTGGAATTGTTTTATATATCATAATCCTTTTTTACAATTTCATTATATACTTGTTTATCAACTGCAAAAAATCTCATGAAATCAATTTCAAGAACATGAACTCTAGAACCAACGATGACCAATGAATGCAATGGTGGTCCAAAATCTTGTGTCAATAATTGATTTAATGTACCAACTTTAATTTGTTGGTCTGTTAAAGAACCAAGACGAACTATACCAATTGCTAGTGATTCGGGTGTGTAAACTATTTTAAAATAATTCATGTTAAAAAATTTGATCCAATAAATTATAATTATTCAATTAAATTGAATTACTTTCTTGTTTACGAGTTTCTTCAATTTCAAAGAGTTGTTGAATTGCTTTATTGATAGTCATGTAACGAGGTGGTTCATAAATTTTCTTGCCCCTATTTCATATTTATGTTTCCGTTAAAATTTTTTTTGCATAATATAAATTGAATCATGTTGAATAATAAATGATGTAAACCTTGCCAAATTTTCTATAGTTTGTTCTTTTACTTTGATGTCTAATAAATAATAAGGAATAATAATGCATGTCAATAATGTAAATAGAAAATAAAAATGGTATGAAAATATGAATTTATTACCCAATAAGCACAACGTGTGTAATCCCAAATCTCTATTTTCTTTAATACGATCATAAAAACTATCTGGTTTCCACGTATCGGTGAAAAATGGTATAGAGATGGTTTGACCAAAATTATATAATTGTAATCCGCAAGCACCAATAGCATTCATAATCGATGCATTATGAATTACTGTGACAGGAATGTTTAACTCTCGGGCTCGTATCACTAAATCTGTATGTGTAGTTGCACTTTATAAAAAAAAAATAACAATTTTTAAATTGTGTAAATGCACATTAAATAAAATAAAATAAATACCCAAAAGGATCTCCGACTACCAAAAACGCTATATTTAAAGAATCTGCATTCAATAATATTTCATCGCTTTGCGATTCCACCATTTCTCTATCTGCAATTATTAATTCTTTTCCATAAAACCTTTCCTATGTGAATTAAATTGAGCAAAATTATACGAAAAATAACGAAAAATATTAAAATTGTTGAATTTGTACCAAGTTTTCTTTGGAAACCATTAAAATGCTTGTATAGGCTTCTAAATACACTTTTTCACATGATTTTATTGCTTCGAGGCCTTTAACAGTAATGTCTGTTTCGTCACATAAACCTAAGCCTATTATATAAAGCATTATGGAAAAGTTATTTGCTATATGTCGATACCGTTATCTGTATTTACTAATTTAAAAATCATGTGAGTGAATTAGGACTTGATATCATTGGCCTTTAACATCTATAAAAATTTACACATTACAATAAAATTATTCCAAATATGATGTTTAGGTGTCAAGCAACGCTCGGGCGCTATAAAATAAAAATAAATTTAAAACAAAATGACTTTTTATCATTACGCTCTCCGAGTTATTTTATTATATCAAAAAATGAATTATTTATGCGAGCAGTAAGTAAAAATATATAAATTATCGCATTGTCATATAATAAGAATATATCTTTGATTTTTTTTTAATATCAATTCTTATTAATCTTAATTTTTTTTTCCTTCAAGCCGTTTCATAATACATCGAAGCGAAACAAACAATTCGAAAAGGTTTCGCCTCCATATCGGATACTCTTTTTTGGATCGGATTATTTTTCTCTTGAATCGTTAATTGCTTTAGTGGATCATCAACGTATTGTTTACATATATTTGATAAATTTTTTTGTCGAAATAATATACATATTGACTTTGATAAATGACTAATTTAAAAAAAGAATCAAACGGCATCAATTCTTTCGTCAAATCGATTGAAGTCGTGGTCCCTCCTGACCGCAGAACTGGTAGAGGATTGAAAAATATAACCCAAAGTATAGTAGACGTTAACATTCCTTTTATGAAGAAACTTTTCTTTTGCGAAGAAGGGATGGCTAGTGAGAGAGGAACTAGCATTTAACTAAACTTTATGTCGTCCACCGTAAGGTCCTGTAAAGCTATTTGCGCAAGACAACAATTTAGCTATACATGAAGCGCCACCAAAAACTTTAAAAGATTGGAAGGTAATTATTTTGAAAATTAATTTATAAAAATTGATGAATATGCATATGAAATTTAAATTTTATAATTTTACCACGAAAATTTTTTCAGATTCCAAAGCCGCGTGACCTTGAAGCAATACACCTCGATATTGATCGTTTCGATATTGGTGTAGTTGTATCATTTGGGTACTTCTTAGCGCCAGTTATTCTTGAATCCTTTACGAAAGGATCAATGAATGTTCATCCTTCATTATTACCAAAGTACATAATTCATTTATATATTAGAATTATTTTCTGGTCTTTAAATTACCATTGCGTGTCATATTCAGATATCGTGGTGCTGCCCCAATCCAATATGCAATTTTGAATGGTGATCAAGAAACTGGAATTACAATTCAAGAACTTCATCATGAAATTTTCGATGCTGGAAAAATTTTAAGGCAGATTAGTGTGGTTTGTCTTTTTTTTCCTATACATATTTCTTATTCACAATTTCTTTTCAAAACCATGAATGTTTCCTCCTTTATTTTTCTAGGCCATCCCTTCTGAATCCACTTACTTGTCACTTGAGTCAATCCTCGCAGCGGAAGGTGCCGAATTACTGGTTGATACACTTCAATACCTTGATTATTTTCAAGTACTTTTTTTTCGATATTTGATTATTTCAATTATTCAATTTATTCACATATTATTATATTACATTATAGGCTAATGCACAAGAACAAGATGTGACAAAAGTCACAAAAGCTCCAAAAATTCCCAAAGATATGGCTGAAATTAAGTGGAACCAGATAACTGCAGATAAATTAGATAAATTATATCGTGCTATATCACATCAGGTTATAAATTTATATATAAATTTATATTATTTTAAGTATTAAATTGGGGTTTTTTTTAATCTACAAAAATTCTTTACAGTATGCATTAACCACAAATTTTATTGAGAAACGTATACAATTACATAATACCTCATTACCTTCTGAACATAAACAACAAAATATCAGAAATAAAATTGCAACTACAAATTATAGTCCGGGTACGATCATTTATGATTCAAAATCTTTAGATTCGATATATATTATCTGTAATGATGATAAATTAATTGAATGTCGAAGTGTTAAAATGGAAGGAAAAAATGAAATTTCGGTAAAAGATTGGATTAATGGGTATGGAGTAGAGAGTGGAAAGATGAAATTTGAATCTTTATGAGGATTATAAGAGCTATATTAATTGTTACAATAATTATTATAATGTACAACTAGTTCCTGGGTTTGCTCAGAATCTTGAATTTTGCGGAGCTCTTTATGATTTCGAAGGTTAGTCTTCAATGGAATTTAACCTGAAATGAGTAAAAATGGTATGTTTGGTCAACCATCTCAATGGTGGCGAGATCACTTAAGTAGTGGTGAACAAGAAATGTTTCCTTCAAATTACATTGAGATAATTAATAAGGGAGGTGGTAATTCGGAAGGTAATGAAATTAAAAATAAATTAAAATCTTGAAAATAGATTTATCATATTTGTCTTCATTTTAAAATAATAATCATCATTATCACAAAATGAATTCTAATAGTGGGCAATGTTTAACAAGTTCTCATAAATCATATCGTAAGAATAATACGATATGCGCTATAATTTGGCATGAAGCATATTAATAATTACAATATCCATAAGCATGAAATTGATTAATTATTATGCCAAGTATACATAAAAGATGTATTTACAGAGTTGTACAACGTAGAGACGTTAAAATTACGGTAATTTACGAAAGATTTGGTAAATTGAAATTTCATTTAATTGTAATTTTGATTTAGGTTCTGAAATCAATTTTTCAGCGATTTAGAAGTTACATTTTATTTAACTTTTTTTTTTTTTTATAATGATAAGGTATTATTAAATTGGTAATATTTAATAACTTATCATGAACAGAGATCTTTTTTTTCTAATATTAAAGGTGAGGTTACTCCTCTGGTTTTCATTTAGTATATATATTATGTAAAGAAAACCTTGTTTTGTGTATATTACATTATATTATATTTCAATTACAGAAGCTTAAACTAATTTATTTACGACCTAAACTCATCAAAGTTTTTTATATCTTGCATATAGCTGGCTTAGATTTTGTACTTTCTTACAACTTTTATTTGGCATTCTTTTTTCAATGGTTAGTTTTGAATTTTAATTTGGTGTATATTATAAGTAGGTATTTTATATTTTCAATTTGATGTACTTGAAAATAATTTAGTTTTATAAAGGTACTAGTATACTATTAGTATTTATATTATTTACATTAAGTAGTTATTTCAAGCCAACCTATTATTGCAGTTTAAAAACTTGTATTTTAAGTTAGATTGTTATTATTATTCTGTTGGTTTTTTGCAATTTTATTTTTTAAAAAATTAATGTTTCTAATTATATATATATATATATTTTTAGTATTAAGGTAACTTTTTTGGTTTTTTGATTTTATTAATACTTTTGTTAGGCATCATGATGAGCATACAACTGGTTATAAATGTAATTTTTTTATATTACCTATTTAAAAAGTCTGTTTAGAAGATTTGCATACATTCTTTCTTGAACATATGAGTTTTGGAATAAAGTAATCTTTTTGTTAAAAATAAGAGCAAATAACAAGACAAAACCAGTTAAAGTATTTACTAAAACAAGGATCCTTGTCCTTGTTCCAAGAAAAAGATCTTTTACAAAATCACAATATACAAAAAGCATAAAAACAATGAAAAAAATAGTATTAACAAGTAGCAAAAAAAAAAATAAAGAAAAAACAGAAAATATGTCAAGTTCTCCAAACTTGATGACTAACATAAAAGAGGTTATTAAATACAAACAAAAAAGAAACAGGTACTAAAAGAAATCTTTAATAAAAATCTAACAAGTTGGGACAAACAAGTCGATTAGAAATAGAAAAAACAAAAGCTATTCAAGACTAAAAAGTAAACAAAAATAATATGTTCAAAGAAGCTATAAACATAACAACAAAAAATATATTTGAGGAACAGATAATATTAGACAACTTAAAGAAAATTGACAATACAATAAGAAAGAAGCTAGACATAACAGAAAACTTGCAAAATAATAGTTTATCAAATAAAGCACATAAAACTAATTCCTATAATAATTTACAAAGAGACAATGATAGACAAAAGATCTAAAAGAAACACTAACTAAATAGTGATCTAGTCTCTTTTAAAAATTAAGAAGAAGACAGTTTATCTACTCCTTCTTCATATCCAGAAGTTAAATCAAATCAAAAAATAAAAATGTTCTAAGAATAGATATTCAAGGCATGCATAGCTCTTTCAATAAAATTATGGTTTTATTATTTAAGAACCTTAAAGAAAATATCATAGCAGCAAAACAATACTTTACAAAAGAAACATATATACATTTAGAAATTGTATTTGAAAACAAAGACAAATTAAAATATTATGCTATCAAGAGTATTAATATTTTTGACAAAACCTTCTTCAGTTTTATTTTTATAGATTCAAAAATCATTTCTTCCAGTCAAGATCAGAAATATTCCACTGAATAACAAAGAGGCAATATCAGATACTATAAAAAAAACCTTTGAGTTTGTTGTCAAAATCACATCAATCAAGCCTTTACTAATTAAAAAAACATCTTACTTTATGAACCAATGAATTATAATTTTTGAAAACTCAGATGACCCTAAGCTAGAAATTAAAATATCTTATTTCATATATATATAGGACAATAAGGTCACAACAGAATAGAAATCAACACTTAAGATATGCTATTTTTGCAAAAAAGAAGGCTATGTTAAAAAAAAATATTAACAATTTCAGGACTTAGTAAATCTACAAATTAGCTATCAACAATACAAAGAGGACAAATATAACAGAAGACTTTTAAATGACTTTTAGGAATTAAATAAGACTCTAAAAAGTATCAAACAAAGCAATGAAGAACCTTTATCACCAATAAACTCTAATTAGTAAGAACAAAATAATTTTTTTATAGTATTAAGGTAACCTCTTTGGTCTTTTGACTTTTATTAATCACTTATCGGTATTGTGGTTCAATGAACCACTACAGGAGAGCATACAATTGGCTACATGTGTAACTTTTCTATATTACCTATTTAAGAAGTCCACTCGAAGGTTCCCTACCAATTGCCGTACCTAACATTCCTGCTTAGGTGTTCTACTTTAAACTCTCTGAACCTGTAACCTGTGTTAATATTACTGGTCATCTCAGATGTACCAGATCATCATCCTCAACCTTAAGACTAATTTATCTTCAAGGTAAACCCCCCAGAGCCTTCTGTACCCATTATTACAGCTGACCTAGGTATCACTATAACAGAACCAACACTTGTGATCAGGGCTAACCATTAAACCACTATGCCTTTATAGAGTTCACTTAGACCCCAGCATCTACTTCACAGCATAACCCAAGTACTTTAGTATATCCCTGCCTTTTCCCCTGCCCTTTTACCAAACTTCCAATCCAGATAGCCTGTGTAAGACTACGACCAGTCCATTGGTATATCAGGTTGGCCCGATATCCTTTTTCTTTAGTTCATTCTGATAGCCTGGTTGGTGGTACCTCTGAGACTCCCAACCTGGAGGTTCTTGCCCGTCTGGCTACTTGGACTGGGTACTAGACCTGGGTATCTGTTTCATAGGCTAGCCTTTACAGTAGGGCTGTCAAAGATCCAGCTACCTCTCTACTTAGATCTTTCCAAATAAACTTCTTGTTACCCAATTTCAATGGATTTACATGGCCACAAGGACTTATCTAGTGTTTGCACCACCCGATTTGTCAGTTTGCATTCTTCTGTGTAACTCCAACATTGCACGGATGCTCCATGACCTGTCAGTCATGCTGGTGTGACCACCATTACAGGTATCCTAACCCAATCGTTAGTAACAGTTGCTGTGATTATCCAAATTTTTGCCATTGATAGGATTTGAACACCCAACCTACCATTTGGAGGGTTGACAATCTGACCACTTCACTAGGTCACCACACCCTTGTAAGAACAAAATAATACTAAAGATGATACATATATAGTCTTAAAAAAAACTGATCCTAACCATCAGCAAAACTTTTAGCTTCTGGTTTTAGCAAAATTAGTTACAACAAATAACAGCTTAAATGAATAAATACAAGTAATAACTCAAAAAGATCCCTTACCAAATACAGAAATGCTACCAAGAGATGAACTTGCTATTTATAGCTATGAAAAACCACATCCATCTGCAAGTCACATCATCAAAGCAGCTTCTCCTCCTGACAAAAATAAAGAAACAGATGGCTTTATCATAATTATTAACAAGAAAACCAAAAAAAGAAACAAAACATCTAAGAAAAATGAAACAAGATCATCTTATTACAAGAAAACTCATGAAAAAGCAAGCCACTCTCAATTCAAGAATTCTAATAACCTCATATAATTTATGACTCAAAAAGCCAAACTAAAAATAGCAACACTAAATATAAAAGAACTTAATGACAAAAAAAAACAACAAAATTCATTAATTTTTTTAAAATCATACAAACTAGACATAATAATGATTCAGAAAACTAATTTTAATAATGAAAAAACATAAGAATTTCTCAAACAACAATGAATTTACAACTTAATCTAAACTAAAAAAAACAGCAATTCTAGCAGAGAGCAAAGACATTAAATTCAAAAACATTCAAATAAGCCATGAAGAAAGAATAATAATAACAGACTTTGTTTTTAAAGAATACTTCTTCAAAATAATAAACATCTATATATTACCAAACATTAGCAACAGAATAATCTTCTTTAATGATTGGAAGCCTCAAATCAAAGAAAATTATATAAACATTATAGCAAAAAACTTTAATGTTAATCTTAATTTCAAAAACAACAAGATAAATCAAGCAATAGTTCAATATGATTCAACTAGAATCCAGCTTTCTAATCTAATAAAAAAATTTATTAATACAGCAAAGGTGTCAAGCACCAAGTTCTTTTTAACTTTTTTTTAAAAAACACAAAATAACTGCTCAATGACTACATATTTGGATTACATTTTTATAAATAAGAATCACAATCATCTTATATCAGAAGTTAGTATACACTTTGGTAATTGAGATTATCTCCTAGTAAGATGCATACTAGAATTCAAACAAGAGTCTAAACAGCCTTCAGTCTGGAAGTTTAATAAAGAATCTTTTAAAACTGAATTACTAAAAAAAAAGTACTAGAGGAAATCCAGAATGCTGGCTTAACAGAGAACTAGAATTTATATAAAATCTATATACAATCAATCATCAGAGCTTTTTGAAAACTCAAAACTTCTGAAAACAAAATAGCAAGACTAAACAAAAACATTACAAAGTTAAGCAAGAAGCTTGCAGCAGATTTCTTGAAAGAACACCTTAACAAAAACATAGAAGAACTAAATCTCTAAATACAAGAGGAACTAACCAAGATGGCTGAGTTATGATTAATTCAGTCAAAGACAAAATGGATTGAA